CGTCACCCACAGGGAAGAGAGAAGAAAAAAAAATAAACCGGTAAAAATACGTCTTTTGAATTTTAAAAACAATTAGGTGTACAAAACATTTCTGGGCTTGACAAGGGATGACTATAAAATTTTCTGAAAAACGCGGTCATGGAAAAAGGAAAATTTACGAGTAAAAGTAAATGATTATCGAGAGATAAATGTTAGAGAGAGAACTGGTTGATCAGATATGAAAATTGATCAATTTCCGGAATGTTTGTTCCATCGTATCGCTCCTCCCCCCGTCCTGTTTGTAAAGACGGGTTGCCTCGTTAACTTTTGCCGTGCTTCTTCGCACTTACTAAGTCCGCGCCCGTTTCCAGCAGGCTCCCGCCCACTCCCCGCGGCAAGTTCAGTCCCAGCGGCGTCCGGGGCACGGCTCTTGCACTCTGCTGGTCTGCGGTGGGCCAGCTGCCGCCTCCCGAACTCCGGGTCAAGCGGCGGCGGGTTCCGCGCGAACGCCGGGCGCCTGCGCGTTGTATCGACCGAGGCGTCGAGAGGGTGCAGCGGGGGAGACAGCGTCGTCGGCAGTGCGGGCGCCGCGGCCGGAGCTCGGCTCCAGCGACGCGGCTCGGTCGCCGCTCCGCGCCGCCATCGCACGCAGCGCGCCGACCCTGCGGAAGCCCAAAGGCGCGGCGGCCGTCGCGCTCGATCGCCGCTTCTGATGAGAAAGGACGTGGCGGGGGGGCGGCGGGGGACCACGAGGGACGACCCCCCCACGCTCCGGGGAGACTCGGGCACGTCGCCCCACGCCGCGCTGTTACCGCGCGCCGGCCTCTGCCCTCGCGACAATTTCGCGCACGAGCGGACACATCGTTACTACCACTGCGGGCGCGGCAGCAGAAGGTTGAACTGCCGCGGGGGTGGGGCGGGGAGGCGCGGGGACGGGCGCGGACGAGGGAACGGACGAAAGCCGTGCCCGGTAACGAGCAACCCGTTTTAACAGGAGGGGGGAGAGGCGATACGAGGGACACATCCGAAATTGACCAATTTCCTACTGATCACAGTTTCAACATTTCACGATAATCATTTACTACCGAAATTTCTCCATGACGCGTTCAGAAATAAGTCATCTCTCAGCCCAGAATGTTTTGTACCTAATGGTTTTTAAAATCAAAGATATACGGTTTCATTAACAAATATAAAATTTTTTTGCGGTATTCCTACAAGACTTAAAGTTAAACAGTTTAAAAGCTAGTGGTGAAATACGTACATTTATTTCTCGCAAATATGGTCACTACTGGTAATAAAACAAGTACAACAGTGGATCACAATGAAAATACAATTACGAGAATGTGTTGCGTTACCACGTGACTGCAATGGATTGGGCTTCGAGTTCTGTTGCGAATTCGTGAGCGCGCACGACGAGAGTTTCGGGTCCGAATGAGAGTCATACAACCAATTAAAATCCTAGATGATTCGACGTTTTGTAGAATTTAATTGTCACAACTACTGGGTTTCGGCAATAGTAGGCGACACTGACAAAACCACCCTCATACTCCGATTAAAATAGGAAGACCTTTCAAGGCCACGAGTTGTTGGGACAGGGGACCGTCTCTAACCGCGAGCTTCCTTACGACTTAAATTTTTGGTACTCAAGCTTCCGATTGGATGACAATTCCCCCTCGTTTTTCAGCTCGAGACCTTGAAAGAATTCGCCTTCATAATGCCTCCCTGTTTTATAGCAGCTAAATTAACACCTGTCACAACTAACGTCTAAGCAGTGTCCAAACTATTATCGAGCCGTTCTCCTTGCTCTATCATGAGAAGAATCGAAGTATATATTTAAGTGGCCCTCATTTTAACATGTATTTATCTTTTGTGACCAACAGTGGGTGGGGTGTGTTCGCCGCCACCTGAGAAACTATTATGAATCCGGGTAGTACAAGACCTTCCATGAGAGAGACACATGTGTATTTTGGAAGACAAAAGGCTCACGTCGGAAGTCGGATCCCTCGAGAATACATGTCGGTACACGTAGAGAGCATGATAGAGCAAGGAGAACGGCTCGATAATAGTTTGGACACTGCTTAGACGTTAGTTGTGACAGGTGTTAATTTAGCTGCTATAAAACAGGGAGGCATTATGAAGGCGAATGAATCGAACATGAACTGAGATACATCTCGGATGAAGAAGTTGGTGAAAAGGCATTAGGGTGTGTACGGTACTTGAAAACCCACAACAAAAACAAGTAGTGGTTACCGAACTGCTCATAATTTCTCGCATTATTTAGAAATTAGCAGGTTTCGTAGATTCAGAGAACTCTGTTCCATTCTTTTAAGCGCCCTTTAAATACTTTCGTGGGAAAAATATGTATAAAAAATTTAGCATTTTGTGTGAAAACGTGCTTTTTATAAATTGTATTAATTTCAAGCAGAATTTACGCGATAATTGCTCAATTTTTAAACAAAATTCTACAAGACATTTTTAAAGATATATATAATTTAGAAGAGATTTTTTTTAAAGCAAAAATCTCCATCATCAATTTTTTTTTGGTTTTGAAAGGTTAACGTTTTGCAATTTTTGAAAATACAGAGTTTGCCCAGAATAAGATAAGCACCAAATTCTGTTACCGTCGTTTGATACACGCAAAGAAAAAAATTGAAGAAAAAAATGGAGT